ATAATATAAAATAAAAAGATAAAACTTTAAATTTGATAAGATAAAATGTTACAACAGGTTTTTGCCTCAAAGACCCAACCAAATGTTTAACGCCTCTTTTGTTTTACAGGTTTGTAAGTGACTCGGTTGGATTAATTTTAGGCAGTAGCTTTCAAATCGTAGGTGTGAACGGAATCCCTCGTAAGGACAATTTTCGTACAGACATGATTTTAACCTAACAATTCCTCCATAAAATATAAAACAAATTTTTTTTTTTCACTTTTTTTAATCCTGGCTGCCTAACATGCGTTTGGACGCACCAAGTTTCTCTCATCAATTATTGATAATTAGTAATTAATCAGAAAATAAAAACACTAAATTAAGTATTAGGAGTAATCAATTAACCAATCTGCATATTTTCTTTTAACAGTTTTGCATCAATATGTCTTCAGCATATACTATATTCTTTTCCTTCTTTTTGCTATAGACTTCCAAGCAAATATCTTCCCCAAACTATTGAAACAAAGATGGCTGCGAGTATCCTTGCCTCTCTCGTAGATGCAGCTCTGTCGAAGGTGATTGCTGTTGCTTCTGATCAGTTCACCTCTCTCGTAGATGCAGTTGTGTCGAAGGTGACTACTTCTGCTTCTGATCAGTTCGATTTAGCACTGGGATGGAACAATGATCTGACGGAGTTTCGTGATACAATGGAGACGCTCCGAGGTTTCTTGCAAGATGCTAATGAAAAGAACGTCAGTGGCCACCTTGCTCTGAAGAAGTGGCTCCAGGATCTTCGAGATGTTGCAGATGAGGCTGATGATATACTGGAGGAGGTCGCTTATGAAGGTATGCAGCGGGAAATTAAGAAATCAGAGGTCAGGCACTTGACTCTGCCTGACCCCTCGCCCTTGCTATTTCGCAGGGAAATGGCTAATAGAGTTGCGGATTTGAATAAAAGACTTGCTGATATCAATTCCTTGGGTGAGCGGTTGGGACTACAACAAAAATTTGCAAACATGGTTCCTGAACCCAGAGGTAGAGCAGGCCGAGAGACTGACTCTTTTCTTTCGTCTCAAGTTTTTGGAAGAGACGAAGATGTCTCTAAAATAGTCAGGTCGTTGGTTAACTCAAGTAGTCAGCATGACCTCCCTGTCATGATTATAGTGGGTATGGCCGGCCTTGGCAAAACCACTATCGCAAAAGCAGTGTTTAGAAATGATAAAATACGAGAACATTTTGGTGATAATAAAATGTGGGTTTGTGTGTCTGAAAATTTTGATGTCAAAAGGATTTTAATGGAGATGTTGAAGTATTGTAGTGGAAGTAGCAGTGGTGATGAGGATTTCGGAAGCAGAGATAGAGTGATGAAAGAAATACAAAAGAAGTTGGGGGAGAAAAATTATCTTCTCATACTAGATGATGTCTGGAATGAGGAGAGACAAAGGTGGGAGGATTTAAGGGATTGCTTGCTGGGAATAAGTAAAAATAAGGGGAGTAGGATTAAGGTGCTTGTGACAAGCCGGCTTGAAAAAGTTGCGTCGCTAATGGCACTTACCAATGAACACATCCATCGTCTCCGGCTATTAAAGGTGGATGAGTGCTGGACTATAATCAAGCAGAGAGCATTTGGAGACAATTCAGTACCTGAGGGGTTAGAGGGAATTGGGAAACAGATTGCTAGAAGGTGTAAAGGCGTTCCACTAGTTGCAAGTATTATAGGGGCTATTTTGCAGAATAAGAGGGACAAAAGGGAGTGGCAGGCCATTACAGAGAACCGTGTTTGGGATTCACTGGAAAAGGACGAGGGGATCTTGGATATAATAAAATTCAGTTATGATCGCTTGCCCACACTGGCTTTGAAGCAATGTTTTGCATTTTGTTCCATTTTTCCTAAGGATTTTGTCATGAGAAGGGAGATGCTAATTCAACTTTGGATGGCTCAAGGATTTCTTGAATCACCTGAAGAAATTAGTAACATGGCAGCGGAAGATATTGGTGACAAGTATTTCAGATATTTGTTATCATATTCCCTATTTCAGGATGAAAGGAGGGATGATGTAACTGGGAGTGTTGAATTTTGTAAGATGCATGATTTGATTCATGATTTTGCTCAGTCAATTTCAAAATCTGAGACGCTGATTGTTGAGGAGCGGCCTAGGAGCAATATTTCTGATGACCTTAGGCATTTGAATCTAATTGATGGGAGGGAAATGGTGCCATCTATTTTAGGGGATGTTGCTAAAAAGTTGCAGACATTGTTTTCCAAGCATAGTTTTTCTAATGGTGTGCAAGTGGATCTTATAAGGTTGCGAGTTCTCAGCCTTAGAGATGTTTATGATGCAAAACAATTGCCGACGTGCTTTGGCAACTTGAAGAGGTTGAGGTACTTGGACATTTCAGGAACTCAGATAGAAGAACTGCCCGAATTCATCTCCGAGTTGTACAATCTACAAACGTTTAGATTCATGGACTGCAATTCTCTTAAAATGCCACCCGGTGGAATAGGAGATTTAATCAACTTGAAGCATATTTATTTCAGTGATGAAGAGCGAATGCCTGCAAACCTTGGGAGACTAACCAACCTACACACATTGCCATTATTTTTTGTAGGTACAACAGAAGGACGTCAAATTGAAGAATTGGGAAGCTTAAGAGAACTCAAAGGAAGACTAAAGATCTGTAAGCTTGAGCTTGTTGCAAGCAAATCGGAAGCAGAGGGAGCAAAGTTAAAAGACAAGGCAGTTGAGCATTTGGAATTTCAGTGGTCCGAAGGTAAAGGCAATCAAGATAAATATGAAGATGTCTTAGAAGGCCTCCAACCCCCCTCAAATATAAGAAGATTAAGGATTGATAGCTATGGAGGTAGAAAGTTGGCATCATGGATGTTGTCACTCGACAATTTGGTGGATCTGACAATTTTCAGTTGCGAGATGCTTCACAGAATTCCAGATATCAGTGGGCTTCTATCTCTTCAACAGCTTTATGTTTCCGACTGTGATGAAGTAACTAGTTTGGGTGATGGTGATGGAGCATTTACGTCACTCAAACAATTATCCATATCCAGGTGTGATAAGTTAGAGAGAGTTTTGGTTAGTGGATTATCATCTCTGGAGGAACTCAAGATTGAGGGTTGCTGGGGGATAAATAGCATAGGAGATAGCCTATCAAGCTCCACGTGTCTCAAACAATTGTATCTGGCAAGCTGTTCTAAATTGCAGTCTATTCCAAGTCTAGAAGGACTTGTCTCTCTCCAAACAGTAATTATTACCAAATGTCATGAATTAGAGCATCTACCGAGTGGGCTCTCATCTTGCACTGCTCTGAAGAAATTGAAGATAACGGAATGCTGTAATTTGGTTTCTATTCCTAGAGAATTGAAACAGTTGCAGTATCTTGTTGCATTGAATCTTTTCAGTTGTCCAAAATTGAAGTTTATTCCAAGTCTAGAAGGATTTGTCTCTCTCAAATCAATATATATTTCTGAATGTCATGAATTAGAGCGTCTACCGAGTGGGCTCTCATCTTGCACTGCTCTGGAGAAATTGGAGATAACGTTATGCTTTAATTTGGTTTCTATTCCTAAAGAATTGAAACAGTTGCACTATCTTGTTGAGTTGGTTTTTGAAAATTGTCCAAAATTGAAATTTATTCCAAGGCTAGAAGGACTTGTCTCTCTCAAAATAGTAATTATTACCAAATGTCATGAATTAGAGCATCTACCGAGTGGGCTCTCAACTTGCACTGCTCTGGAGATATTGGTGATAATGAAATGCTCTAATTTGGTTTCTATTCCTGAAGAATTGAAACAGTTGCAGTCTCTTGTTTGGTTGTATATTTGGGAATGTCGAAAATTGAGGAGCATCCCACAGGAGATCTTGGGCTCTCTTGCCAGCTTGAAGACATTAGGGCTTGGCCTTTTCTCAGAAGAGCTGGAGGAATTCCCAGATTTGAGTTCCACTTCCTCCTTTGAAGTCTTGCATTTGGAAGGATGGGGGGAATCGCTAACTCTGCCACATCAAATTCATCGCCTCACTGCTCTCAGGAACTTAACTATCGAAAGCTTCAATGGAGTGGAAGAAGCTTTATTGGGAAACCTTTCTTGTCTTAAAACACTTGAAATTCAACATTGTTGTCGGTTAAGGTGTCTATCAAGTGGGCTGTCATCTGTTGAGGAGCTGGTGATAACAAATTGCCCTAATCTAGTCTCTTTCCAAGGAGAGTTGAAGGAATTGCGTTTTCTAGAAATTTCAGGTTATCCAAAATTGGGGGGCTTCCTAGAGGAGAGTCTCGCCTGCTGCACTAGGTTGGAGAGAATAAAGATCGGCCCTTTCTCAGAAGAGCTGGAAGAATTCCCAAGTCTGAGTTCCATCCCCACCTCCCTTGAAGATTTGACCCTGATGGGATGGGAAAAACTAACTCACCTCCCACAAATTCAACACCTCACTGCTATAAAGAAGCTGACCATATGCGACTTCAGTGGAATGGAATCTTTGCCAGACTGGTTTAACAACTTGTCCTGCCTTCAAGAACTTTGTATTCGGAACTGCCCAAACAAGTTAAAGGAAAGATGCACCGAGGGAAGCAGTCCTGACTGGCACAAGATTTCTCACATTCCATGCATCGAAATACATGAGCCATTCAGCTAATTGGAATCCGAATCCGAAGACTGAGGCAAAGAGGTTTGTGTTTCTTTTTTCTCACAACTGCGCTTGTAC